AATAATCTTAAGTTATTTTTTAATTCTTAATGATATTATATAATTATATAATATAATTCTTAATGATATGAAAATTTTTTTTCCATCCAGTTTTATTCAGAAAGGCCAGGTTCCGTCCAAATTCAAATAGATCAATCATCTATGTATAATTCACCTAAATATGATCTTCTCTCAGATAAAGGAAAAAAGTTGAAGAATAAATTATAATTATTATAATTTATATAATAATATATAAACAATTTCATTATATTTTTATATAAAATATTATTTTTTTTTTTAGAATATATAACAATATTATTGATTCTGGCTATTTAAATCCAAATAAATTTCGTTTTTGGATTCAAAGAATTCTATCTAAAGTTCTTAATAAATTACCAAAAGTTGAAGATAAATATGAATTAATAGTAAATAATCAAAAGATAAAAATCAAAATAATAGAGAGTGGTCCTGCATATACAATAATAATAAATATGCCACATGAAACTGAAAATATTCATATTGATTTAGCTCCAACATTAGCTTTCCATATAAATTGCATTAATCATTTTACTTCAAAATTTAATGAACTTCAAAATGTTTGTATGTCTATTATATTTAAATAAAAATATTTTTATATTATAAAAATTTTTTGTTTTTAGTGTCGAAATGAAACATGGTTTGCAATTCCATTACCATTAACAGATAATGATTCTAATAATAAAAATCTTTATTGGAGACTTTCTTTTAGTTATCAAGAGAAAGAAATTCTTGCTAAATATGGTCGTATAAAACCAGTCATACGTCAAATAAAGGTTGTTTAATAAATTATGTACTTTAATTTTAATATTACAAAACATTTCTGACATTGTTGTGTTTTTTTAGAAATTAAGAGATACACAAAATTGGAAAAGTATTGCAAGTTATTTCATAGAAACTTTATTTTTACATAAAATAGAAGAATTAAAAAATGATCTCGAAAAAATACCATTTACATTATTTTTATTTAAAGTAAGATATAATATATAAAAATATATGTGTAATGATATATATAATATATAATATTAGAATCAATATGTATAAAAAATTTATAATTTTCATTATTTGTATTATTCATATGAATTATTATTGTTTTTAGATGCTTCAAGAATTATATTATGCTTGTGATAAGCACATGTTGGAATTTTATTGGGATAAACAGTATAATTTATTCTCAAAGATTAGTAAAATAGAAATGCATAACATAACTTACCGCTTAAAAAATATTATAAGCAATATTGAAAAATATTCAAGTGATGAATTCATATTAGCTAAATTTATTTGTAAGTTGTGCTTTTTAAAATTACGAAATGATGATATTTGAAATATAATTTTTCATAATTTTTTCTTCTCTTAATATAAAATTCAATATAAATGATTGCATGATTAATAAAACAAAAATTAATAATCATTGTAAATGATTGTTTATATTGAATCTAAATTTTATTATTTTTTTTTTATTACAGTAAATTCAAACGAATTACAATTATTAAAAGAAAAAATAAATAACAATCAATATATAGAAGGTATATATTAATTATAATTAATATATTATATTATATTCATAATTATAATTATATTATATTATAATTATAATTTTATATTAAAATTAATTTTATAGATGAAAATAATGAGAAACAAGAAGAAAAT